GGACTTTCCTGCATCGTGACACTGATAGCTGGATAGAGAGAGGTTATCACTGCTTGAAGCCAGCACCTGTGGTGAATGAGATTGAGGAAGGAAAGCAAAAACGAGCAGACTTTGGGTTGCAAGAAAACAATACTTCAGGAAAATGTGTTCAAATTGTTACTACATCACTCACATAATACAACGACGAGTTCGGTATAAACAGAGATTTGGGCTAAAGAAGATTTTTTTAAAGGCAGTACGGTGTTTATTTTTACAAAAGTAAATAATTGTCATCTATCCTACAAGATTCTGTCTTACCCTGTTTATAAATGTGTCTGACATACACTTTTGGGCCTAATTTATGGGCCACTGAGTAGTTTAGATTCTAGATGCTTATCACTGTGGATTATACAAAGGGGAGATAAGAGAAACCAACTTTTTGTTATAAGCCAGCAGTATGGGTGCAGCTGTCATCAGTAATGCCCAGAAATCGGTATTAGTTGTTGCCCAGCAGCACATAGGGAACATATTTAATTGGCTTGAGTAGGAGCCTGTTCTTTAGTTTTCCACCTCGCAAAGATACCCTTTGGGTTGTGAACGTTACTGGTTTGTAACATCCTGTCCAGGTTTATGGGTCTACGGAAACACTTTGAAATTTTCTTCCGGAGCTCAAGAGTGCTTTTTAGGCTTGGTTGAAGCTGTCGTGTGTTTTCCTTTATACTTCTCCTTTCACAGAACAGTATGTGCAGTAGCCCCTTATATGAAAGTAGACGTAAAAGGAAATGCTAAAATAGCTCTGTATAAAAAAAAAAAAGCAGTCTTTCAGAGTAAGCAGAATATGCATATGCTGATCGTGAGATGAACAGTATGTAGTATTTGACAGAAACCAGCACAGTATAGGTCGTTAAACAATCCCAGACTTTCTGAGATTTCTACATCATTTCTCTATGTCCTTGTTGAAGAATCAGCGCAGAGACTGCAGGCAGTAAAAGAAAACGTCAGGCAATTTGAGTATTGTACTGTTTCTATGTAATTTTTGCCTTTCAAAGTCCTTATTGGAAGCAAAAAGATTGTATGTATATTGCTCAGTGTCCTGACCGCACACCACGAGGATGAATCCTCAATGCTTTATCCCACTCTTTCTTTGTTCTTAGTGTCTCAGTCCTGTTCTTTCATACCTATTTATATTTTACAAGTGCTTTGATACAGCTGTTAACTCTGTCCTATCAGCAATGAGAATACTGTTAGTCACAAAAATAGTAATCCACCAGGTTTGACCTCTTCCACAAGGATCAGATGACAGCCTAGCAAAAACAAGATCACTGTTTGAACATTTATGATCATTATACAATCTTTACCTCTGTTTTCCTAACAGATTATTTGTATTATTAAAAATTACTTAAATTATATCTACAGCTTTAAAACAGCTAGAAAGGAACATCTGACAGATTCTTATATAGCTGTAGCTATGTAAGAGTAGTTTCAAAATCTTTTCTGTAGAGCTGCTGTATTGGCTGTCTTGTACTATCCCAGCTTATAGGTAGTAGCTGTTTCCCATTACTGACCTTTATGTTTATTGCCAAGGTTCATTAAGATCATTTGAAATAATATTACATCATTTCATCCTCTTCCCTTCTGTGTATAAATCTCTGATCATCGGCATTTTCAGATAAACACTGACACAAAAGGAATCCAGAACCTCAGGGCAGTAACTGTCTTCTTTTCTGTTTCAGAAAGCATGAAGTACACTGTTGTTTTTATCTAATACTACACAGAAGCTGTGTCATACAAACATACAAGCAGCTTGGCAAAGGAAAAGAACTGATATGTGGCTATCAATCTTTTAAATTAAAATTAAATTGAATTTCATCAAGAAGGTTTAAATTCCCACTCTATATTATCAAGTGGCAAAGAAATAAGAAGTTTGAGGTCTCATTGCATTCTTCCATAGAGCTGACTTCCAAGTAGTACCTCATGCCATCTAAGCTCAAGGTGGAGACATGGACTGAACACAGGACACAGCATTGCGGAGTTGTTAACAGCACTGAAGTTGAGTTCAACTCTGAACTTAGAAAGTCTTTGCTTAAACAAAGGCCATATAGTTTTCACCAAGTTAAGGTAGTATTCCAGAGAATTTCACCTAACTAAAATTATTTATTAACTTTTTTTATCCTGAATTATTGTAATAGTATTCTACTTTTAGAAAAGTTTGATGATGGAGTAATGCAGACTCTAAATCCTTTCATCTAAGTAAGTTGTAAATAAGTTAGCTCCAAGAATTCAGCATATAATTAAAATTATTAGCAATGGTTTTTTTTCTTTTTTTTTCTTTCTTTTTTTTCCTTTAGCATATTTTCATAGTGTTCTAAGTTAGGAGTCAGTGACGAGAAATGGGTCAGGTTACCATCAAGGGCTTCCACATTAAGTGACTTAACCTCAGTCATTAAGGGTCAGTGACTGACTAGTTTGCTCACTAGTCCTCAAAAAGTGAAGCACTGCAGCACTGCTAGCCCAGGTGAGGCAGCGCAGGTGAAGCCCTGCAAAGTTCAGAGATACTGGGATGAGAGAGGTGCTTGCTGGAAGCACCCTGGTTACCACATCATGCAGAGGTAATCTTGGCAATACGGTTCCTGACTCCAGATGCAGGTTTATCTTCCCTCTCATCAAGTCCATTTAAGTCTGTGTTCCTCAAAAACATGCCTTTCTCACATGAAACCATGTCACCTCTTCATTTGGTTCTCCACACTGTTCTTCAGTGGTGGAGAAACCAAGAAAGACAGGTAGACCTTCGGGGACTAGGCTCATCATCATCTTCTGTTTTAGAAATGTCAGTGGAAGAAACACACATTCACAGCATTCAAAGTCTTGAATTCATAAAACTTGTATGTACTGGAGATACCAGAGGTACAGTTCAAGACTTTTTGTCACTCTTACTGATGTCTTTACCGTGGAGACAAGCCTCTGGGCATGAGAAATTTTATTTTTTTTAATTCAAGTATAATTACAATCCTCCCAAAAGAGATGAATACCAGTGGTGTAAGTTGTGACAGATTTCTATTGCAATGATCATTATGGGCTGGAAATCACCTAGCTATTTGATGTCAGCCACAGCCTGAAGTTAGAGGTGTTAAATATAACTTGTGCTGCACCTGAACTGCTGAACTAGGAGCTGACTTCTTCAGCCATCGAACTGCTTGGACTAAACTTTTAAAGTAAGGTTAAAGATTAAGGATCTATAGTTTTGCCTTTTGTTAGTGTTCTCTTTTAAATGACCGAATAGACCCTTGTATGAATTGGTTTAGTGCCCTTCTGTGCAGACATTGAATCTACTTCTGTGTATTTGTGTTTCAGTAAAAGTACTGAATTGTTCCTGCTGCAGTCTATGCAACAAGCTCCCAGGCTGAAATGCCCATCCAGCATCTTTTTTCTGGCCTGCAGAGGTTGCAGTCTAGTCCCTTTGCATATGAAAACCATTGCCTCAAACATTTCCTCTCTTTTGTCCCCTCTGCCCCCAGAATGCTGGTGTGACACAGCATGATACATGCAGCACAGCAGCTTTAAAAAAATCCCCAAATTTCCCGACCACTCCTCTGATCTCCCCCCACTTTCAGGTCTGATTTTCACCAAAATTCAAGCTGGGCAGGGCCCTTCTCACACAGCCTGCACAGCCTGCTTGAAGCTGCAGCCACTCCTCTCTTTGCCATCTGCCTCTTTCAGATGCTTTTGTTCTCATCTGCATAAAAAATTGGTTTGCATTACTGTAGAACAAATAATTGCTTCTAACGAGTAGCATGTTAGATGGGTGAATCATGCCTATGTACTTTCAACTCACGAATTTAAGCTAACATGCCTTCATTGTCTAGGATTCAACAGAGGATGAGTTGCACCGCTAAGTAGGTGAATGATTACTTTAGTAGTAACTCTCTCACTTCTGTCTGCCCATAATATGTTTCAATTATTGTACGCCTAACTAGATTAAGCTGAAGCTGAAAACCATAGTCTTCCAAAATAAGTCTCCATACAAACAAATTTTCTGAAATAATGTCTAAAGTAGCTCTTTTGATTGTTTGGGTTGTTTGGGGTTTTTTTTACATGAATAAACCCATACTACACATTCAACACTTTGTAACACTAAATTCCTAACTCCTTACAGTTTTGTTCAAAAACCAGAGATACCCTGTCCTGACACTTTTCTTCTCAGTCACAGCCACTGACCCATGCCACAGAAGACCTTCCTGTAGGGGGAACACTGGTGGCAGGTTTCAGAAGTGCCCCGAGGGCACACTGGCCTCGATGATGCACGCAATGGCTAGGATGAGGAGAAGTGGGGAAGGTTTCAATGCGATGTGTGGCTACCTGTCTGACACAAGCGAAACGTTGATCCAGGTTCGCCTTGAAAACTGCATGCAGACTTCTGCCGTCTGTCTTGATGGGGGCTGTTGGGTTGAGTAGGATGTCTCCAGAGCACACAGAAGTATTTCAGTACATTGATGTTTTAATTGCACTTTAACTTTTTGTTATTTTGGTAATGAGTACTTCTAACAGGAATTTTGTGTATGAATACTAGTATTTATGCCAGTATCTCATTTCTTACAAACTGTATGAAGGGTCTGGCAAAGGCAGTTGAACGCTGGCAAATTTACTGTTGTATTTTTGTTAAAGTAGCCCAAAGAGAACATAGATGAGATTGGGTCCTTAAGCACAGAGTCCCTTCCATAAAAAGCTTCCTAGCTAAGAGATACGAAACAAAGGAGGACATCTTAACCTGGACTCCCAAACAGGAGCTAAAATAAAAAGGGCTGGACTAACATCTGTGGGCAGCCTGCATTTTGAGTCAGGAATTAACCTTATTGTGTTGCTAATATGATCTTAGGTTTCATTTTTGAAAGATGTTTTCGCTTCCCCATAGTATGTAAATATTTGCTCATTAATCTTAATACTTTCTTATTTTTCAGCCTCCCCGCATAACAGCAGCATACCACGGGTCAGAAGTTTTGTACTCTCTTTCTTAAGTCACCAGGATGACCCTATACCAACTGAAGGTGATACTGAAAATGACTTGGATGTTGGATCGGGAGCCACCAATCAGACTGGATCGTTCCTACGTGAACAACGAACAGTGTCAGTGCAAACAGCAAGATACCTCACTAGTCCGTGGCTGACGCGTTTTGTTCCTTCAGTTTACACCTTAGTGCTTGTGCTGAGTCTCCCTCTGAACATTACAGCAATACTTGTGTTTCTGAAAAAAATGAAAATTGAAAAGCCCGCTGTAGTATACATGCTGAATTTGGCCCTTGCAGATGTCCTGTTTGTAAGCGTGCTTCCTTTTAAGATTGCTTATCACTTTTCTGGAAATGACTGGGCTTTTGGACCGCAAATGTGCCGTTTCATCACTGCTGCCTTCTACTGTAACATGTACTGTTCAATAATGCTTATGACAAGCATAAGCTTTGATCGCTTCTTAGCAGTGGTGTATCCCATGCAGTCTCTTGGGTGGCGTACATTAACACGTGCCTCACTGGTCTGTTTCATCATATGGCTTGTAGCAATAACTGGGGTTATACCTTTTCTCATCAGAGAGCAAACGATGGAAATACCCAAGTTAAATATAACTACTTGCCACGATGTGCTAAGAGAATCTGAACTTCACGGCTATTACCTCCTCTTCTTCTCCATCTTCTCCTCTGTGTTTTTTGTAGTGCCATTTATAATTTCTACTGTCTGTTACGTGTGTATCATTCGGTGTCTTAGTTCTTCTACCATTGTTGCAAAACAAAATAAGAAGACACGTGCCTTGCTCTTGTGTGTAACTGTTTTTTCTGTTTTTGTTATTTGCTTTGGACCCACAAATGTCCTCTTATTAATTCATTATATCCATTTTTCTTATGACAACAGCTTAGAGTATCTCTACTTTGCCTATCTACTCTGTGTTTGTATCAGCAGCGTTAGCTGTTGCATTGATCCCTTTATTTACTACTATGCTTCTTCTCAGTATCAGAGACAACTTTTCAATCTCTTCAATTGTAAAAAGACTTTCGATCCTAACAGTAGTAACAGCAGTGGCCAGTCAATGTCTACCAGTAGTAGGAGGGCTACGTGCTCTACTACTGTGAATAACAGTGTCTACAGGAAATTACTAGCAATGCATTGAGATAACATCTTACACATACTCAATTTTTAGACAATTTCAGACAAAAAAAAGACTGTTTATATCCAAGAAATGTAAAACTTTAAACCAAGTTGTTGTACAATACATCGTTCTATGGATTCATTATAGTAATGCACAATTCAAATTATAACTCTGTATATGTATATATATAGTATATGTAAATATGTTAATGTAGAGGGGAAAAGTAATTTCTTAATAATAGTTGAATCTTTTTCAAATAAACTCCTTTTTTTCAGACAAATCATTTGCATTGTTAGTTAAGTTGATTGCAGTGGTTTTATGAAATCCCATTTTAGGATTTTGAACTGTATCAGGTTGATTAAATTCTTACTTATGGAACCACTACATTTATCTGGTACTTCCTGAAGAAAGTGAAAATATCTTTCCAATTTTGTTTTGTTTTGTTTTTTTCCTATTTGTCATTATTTCTGGAATTACCTGTAAACTTCATTTTCTTAGCATTATTTTGCATCTTGGACACTGAAACTGTTCATTTTACCTTTTTATACATTCCACTTCAAAACAGTCTATATGGTTTTAGGAATGTGAGCAACTGAAAACCAGCTATTGATTGGTGCAGTGTGTCAGGGGAGGTAATTCTCAGCAGATAGAACTAGCGTTTCTTTTGGTGTTCCTACCATTAGTGTACACTAGGCATCTTGGTTAGGAATGTGGTCTTTTTCATGATTAATTTCACAAAAAATTGTGAAATTTTATTTCACAATAAATGTTGAATGGTTCTCCAGAAAATATACTGAAAAAAAGAGTAATCATCATTTTGTTACACAATTTGCAAATGTGCTTTCGTGCACATAATTAATCATCATGCACGTGTTTAGGACTTGGAAATATCGTTTATCGCTGCCACGTCTGGATGATTTTTGTATTTTACATTGTGTCCACAGCTACTAAAATTGCTGTGGTGTAGGGCCCAATAGCTAACTTCATTCTGTGTAGCATTCTTTTTCAAGAAGGGATACTAAAGCCAAATAACAGGAATTCAGTTTTAGAAATGAGCATGTAGGTAATAGGACTGTACACAAAAATGGAAATCAAATTAAGTAGGAATTTGGTTAATGTAGGATTTGCCATAGGAATCTGCCGAGAAGTACAGCAATGGATAAAAGCTGTCTTCAGTCCAGCACACGTGATAAGCAAGCTAATTTTTCTGCATACAGTGTGACAGTGAGAAACTTCTTTCCAACTACGATCTCCTGTCGGTTTGTGTCTGTTCCTTAACAGACTTAAGCATAATTAAGTATTGCATTACCAGGGTCTCTCTAGATTTTTGTTCTCGAGTATTTGCCACTTTCTAAGTACATGAGTGCTAAAAATATATATTTATCTGCAGTTTGTAAGGCTAAAACCCCACAAATGCTTATGAAACATATTCAGTTACATTCTCATCTTGTTTAATATCGTATTAGGGGTGGCTTTGGTTTTCAGCAAAATCCAAATGCATCTTAAAACCATGAACACCCGCTTCTTATTGGCAGAAAAAATAATCTCCATGCTTCCTGTAGTTACAGGCTGCTGGACTGCTTTTCAGATCTATTACATAGTTGGGATTTGTTTCAATATTGTGATATTTTGTTTTGCAGTAGTGGTTTATTGTAGGTAGCCAAAAGACACCATCTAGTCTGCTTTGCAAGGGGCAGTATTACATGCTAGGAAGGAAGGAAATGTACATAGAAAACAGCTCAGCAATCATAGCAATTATTTATTTCATTTTGCTCTGTGGTTCGGTGGTTTCACTTGTAACCTCTGTGTGCTCGAGAACATTTGCAAAAGAGCAACTTCTTCCTGCCTTCTTGGGTGAAAACATGAGAGGGGTGAATGCAACTGTTTATCCTCATGGCTAAGAGCATCAACAAAGATCCTGAAAAAAAACAACTGAAAAGATTTTATGCATGTTTGTAAACCAGCATCTCAGCTCTGCCACGCACATCGCTGAAGTTGGCTTTGCTGATGATTCCGGCTTGCATGCAAATGAAAAAATAAAAGAAAACGAGAAACAGGAAATGCAGTTACTGCACAGAACCCTTAAATAAAATGGACTCACAAAGCTAAGTAGACTTCTTGACTTGGTAACTAGCTAAAGTGCTGAAGTTGCCTTTGGAAAGTATTTTTATGCTGCCTAAGCATGTTTGAAAACCCAACACTTGATGGGCTTGAGGAGTGGGCCCAGCCACATCTCATGAAGTTCAGCAAGGCCAATTGCAAGGTCCAGCACCTGGGTCCAGGCAGCCCCCAGGATCAGTACAGGCTCGGAGATGAAGGGATTGAGAGCAGCCTTGAGGAGAAGGACTTGGGAGTGCTGGTTGACGAGCTCAACATGACCCAGCAATGTGCACTCACAGCCCAGAAAGCCAACCGTATCGTGGGCTGCATCAAAAGCAGCGTGACCAGCAGGTCGAGGGAGGAGATTCTGCCCCTCTACTCCCCTCTGGTGAGACCCCCCCTGCAGTACTGCCTTCAGCTCTGGGGCCCCCAACACCAGAAGGACATGGACCTGTTGAAGTGAGTCCAGAGGAGGCCACGAAGATGATCAGAGGGCTGGAGCACCTCTCCTGTGAAGACAGGCTGGGAGAGTTGGGGTTGTTCAGCCTGGAGAAGACAAGGCTCCAAGGAGACCTTAGAGCAGCCTTCCAGTACGTAAAGGGGGCCTACAAGAAAGACAGTGGGAGACTCTTTATCAGGGCCTGCAGCGACAGGACAAGGGGTGATAATTTTGAACTGAAAGAGGGTACATTTAGATCAGATATAAGGAAGAAATTTTTTATAATGCGGGTGGTGAGGCACTGGCACAGATTTCCCAGAGAAGTTGTGGATGCCCATCCCAGAAGTGTTCAAGACAGGCTGGATGGGGCTTTAAGCAACCTGATCTGGTTGAAGATGTCCCTGCTCATTACAAGGGGGGGTGTTGGACTAGGTGACCTTTAAAGGTGCCTTCCAACGCAAGCCATTCAATGATGCATGCATAGGCATCCTACTCATGTTGATGCTCCACAAGTGCTTATAGCAAGCTACTTGCTAGCCTGCAAATGCATTTCTGCTACATACAGAGAGCTGATTAACAAGTCAATTGCCAACCAGCATAACACTTGCTAAAGCATACAGGAAATATCACCTTTTCATAGCAAATGAAGCGTTAATAGTTATTCCTTCTTTTAGGCTCCCACAGCTAGTGTCACACCTCTGCTTTCTATTTGTATTTTGTTGATGCTTCAGTCTGATCAGATTGCAAAAATAAGCAAACTGATAGGTGATTGGAGGAGTCTCATACCAAGGCAATGGCAGCTCAGTGCTAACTGAATTTGGCCTTTCTGTGCAACCGGTTAGTTCGAACATACTACAGTTCTCAGTGTCTGCTTTTGCTGCTGTATTTGGTGGCAAGAAGGAGGGCAGGACCTGCTCAAGCAGCATCAGTCTACGGAGCCAACCTCAGGCACAAACAACATTTGTGAAACAGGCTCTAACTGCTGAGCATGGCCCTGCAGCAAAGCACAATATGGTAGCCTTTTGAGGAAACTGAACCAGAAAAGTACTGCAATTTAGACTGATATGCTTAAGCTGACAGTAAAAACTAACTATTGCTTCATGCTTGATGCACCCTTGCACTGCTCGCTGGGAAAGAAAATGAACAGCTTGTTTCAGGGTAAAGGGGAAGGAGTGAAAATCTGACTAAAAGAAATTAAACCCATCGATGTTACATGCTGTTTCACCCATACTTTCTCCTCTTCATTCTTTCATTGTTTTTTCATAATATCAGGGTTAAGCTGCATCATTTTCTGTATGAAGCAAGCTAACAAACTTGCGCCAAATAACATTTGGAGATGAGGAGGTGTCCAGCACTAAACATGTATAAGAAAGCTTGCTAATGTTTCAGATACGCCAGTTTTACGTTTGGCAATATTGGCAGGGCCAAGATTTGTAATCAGCCAGGTTTCTGTTGTCAAAACACCTCATATAGCATCTGTCACTGCTGTAACTTTTTTCACAGGGGAGGGCTTGCTTAAGTTAGCATGGTAAGGATTTTGCAGGGTTGGGGTGTTCAGACTAGAAGCATTTTATCAGTTAATGCCAACCATGCATCTGCCTTACAACCTGCTCCCTGCAGCTTGACTGTAGAGAAAGTTTGGTCTGCTGGCTATTAGCTCTGTTCCCCTATTTAGTTGAATCCTATCCAGAAATGTGAGCATGGCTGCAAAGTGTGTTCATGATGTTTTGCATCAGGCAAACTGGATCAGGCCACTGGATTTCTCCTACCTGAGAGAGTATCTAGAAATGGAAAGAGAGTACGAGCCTGCTAGTAGATCACCAGCTATGGCTTCACACTGAAGGCCTCCAAGAACTGGGAAAGGAAAGAGAAGGTGCAATATTTAAGTAAATTCCTGGGTAAGACCATTTTTTTATTGATCATTTTCATCTTTTTTTGATCTGATCACAGATTGCTCTTGCAAGATACTGAGCAAATTTAAAAATGAATGAGACGACTTCTCACATGTTTAAAATTAATGACCCACATAAATGCTTTTTCATGGCATTTTGTAGTTGCAAATGCTATACAAATGGCACTGTTAAGCTGGAGAAGCTGAACAAATAACATGCTATAATCCAAGTGAACACTAGAGAGCATTAAAATAACTAGGTATGGCCATTGTAATTTGGCTTATTGGGGAGGAGACCATTAGGAACCAGATCTCAACATCACATTGAAGTGCAAAATACGGATTAGCCCTCTAAACAAACGTGGATTTGGAGAGGTGAAAAAGTATTGGAATTGTGTTGGAAGAGTGACTTTATTTTAAACAGAACCTGTAAAAAAGTTCAGCAAAGTTTTGGGGAATAATTTTTCTTTTCTTTGTGCTGTCAGCCTTATAATAGTGATGCCTGTAACACCACAAGCAAGCCACTCTCCTCAAAAGCAAGGCCTGACATTTAAAGGATGGCACTGAGCTCAAATGCACTGCACACAGCCACGTAACTCCATCATGGTCAGAGCTGATAAAGTCAACCTATAAAGTGATCCCTCATCAAAATAAAACTGAATGACATCATTGAGTCAAATTCATCTTCATTCTGTAGTAAGCCTGGGAAAGTCACCATCCTTGCATTTGTTTAATCAGTTTTGGGTTTTGTGTTAGGAATTTGGGGCCTTTGGGGATTTTTTGTGCCACTCTAATAGGTACTAGAGGCGGCAATCCTTGGGAAGTTCTCACATATGCTTTTTCATCCTTGTGGATGGGGCAGCGTGTGCCTAGGCAGTGGCGAAGGCGGTGCCACAGGGCCTGGGCACAGGGCTCTCCCCGTTCATCCTCCCACGGAGCTCGCAGCCTGCTCAAACTGGCTTGCCATGTTTCTCCCTTTGACTTAGCTAGAGATGGCAAGCAGGACACTGCTGCTTTCCTCAGAAACCTGAACACAGAAAAGGAAAATAATTGCATAGACTTTCACAGCCAGATTATCTATAAGTATTTTATCACTATTGGCTCCTTATAGTGTTCTTTTTTTTCTTCAGATATATGTTTAAACAATTCAGTTTTTTGGCTTATAAATGGGAAAAAGCAATCACCATCAGCAATACAGGAGGCAGGTTAGGATCCTAAGACCAAACTTTTCAAATCTGTTTCAGCCAGACATTGAGGTCCATCAACTCAGATTATACTCTAGTGGGTGTGAAGCCTCCCTTGGACCCTATGTACCTGCTAGGAAGGGATATGGTGGTACAGAAGCCAGCGGTATCACTGATGGGAAATGATGCTGCCGAACACACCGTGGGAGTCTGCTTCCTTTCCTGCAGAACAGCACTTAATTGGAAACAGGCATCCAGCTCTGGAGGGTGTGTTTTGTCACTGCCACCTCCTACTATAATGTCCTGTTTACTGAAACCTCCCTAAAGACTGATTGTTTCTTATCCAAGACAATATCCCACACAGTCCTCCTCACCACTTACACAGCAAGGTGCCTTGGGGATCCATGTTCAAATCACATGGGCTTTACTGTCAACTAGCTAGTCTTTATTCATTGCAACTTATCAGCCTGCTTTAAATGTTTCTTTTCTGGTATGGTCACTCCTGTGATTCTCCTCTTCTCTTTTCTCTTTTACAACGAACAATTTTTACTGCCTATCCCAATCTTTCATTACTCGTCAATATTGTTGCAAAGCCAAATAGAAGTTTTCTTGCCTGCAGCAAACTTGTGGATTTGTAAAGAGATACCACTCACATCTGACATGTTTTCCAGGAACCATAAAATGTGAGAAATTCGTTAAGTTCAAAAACCAGGTCAGCTAGCATAACTGGAGTAACTGCATAGTATGTATGCAGAGAAAGCTTTATAGTTGCCTAAAGCATGTTGTACTGAGAACTTAGTCCCGGATGGGCAAGAACAGAAAGACACAGGGAGAAAACTTTGCTACCCAAACTTTTACAGTGTTTTATTTGCCTGTTCAAGTGCTAATAAATCTCCCTTCAGAATAATTTCAGGAGTATTTTTCTTGCATGCTCTTCCTATAGGTCACATTTTCCTGTAAGTCACATATTCACAGGAATAAACCTGTCTATCAGTGTCACTTGTAGCATTTCTTCCAATTTATTTTTACACTTTTTTTTGTCTCCACATTTGCTGACTCTTAGAGGTACATGCAATTCTACCCAGCAAAGAATATAGTACATCTAGTTAGTTATCATAGCTTTAACATCCAAGGAAATGAAAAATATGATGAAGATTTCTGCTTTCACAAGCTAGAGGTGACCAAGAAAATAGTACTCCTACCACTGAAAATTGTATTTACAGAAGCTCTGAAATTCAGCTTAGATCTCTTACTTTGCTTCAACATTTTTCCTATTTTTATTTGCATATTATCTTTAGTAAAAATTTTTGAAAGAAGGGACTTATTGCACTCCACGCACCAGATAAAACATATTTGTAAATTTGCCAGGAAATATATAGACATTTTTCATTAAACGGTTAAAGTATTTCTAAGCCTTTTATATCTCTGCATCAGAGATACTGAATTTTATTACTGAAAATTCTTTCAAAATTACATTGAAGATGTTAAGACTGTTTAAAAGAAAGGCTTGTCTAAAGGTGTATTATCTTTCATTAGCCCAACAGATACATTATGGTGGGGAAAAAAAAAGACAATGTTTTGGGTACTTTAAACCATTCTGGGTAGCTTTCCAGGTTTCTATTTTCTTATCTTAGTTTCTAAACTAAGATCAGTAGTGCAGTAGAATCTGTACAACTACTGACATGTTCTGTTAAAGCAGTGAAAATATTTCCTAACTTGAAAATCTGTCAGCAAGAACTATTGCTATTTTAAGCAAAATATTTTATCTTTCCTTGATCACAGTATTTCCTGTTTGTACTCTAATGAAACAAGATTTATTTTTTTTCTTTCCTCACCCCCTTCTTCCGGTCTAGCATGTAAAAACCAAACTGAGCAAACAGCAGCATCAAGGGGAAGCCACTTCTCCATTCACTGCTATTTTTCGACACTGGGGATGAACTGAGGTCTGTAGAAGCATTGCCCAGCTATGAGGGTTACAGGTCTCTTATGAATACATAGGAAACTCTACAAAGATACCAGCAGTGTGTTCTTTTAAATCTTTGCCTGCTTAACCAGGTGCTCGAGGAGGAGAAGTACCTATAGTGGCTGGATAGCAATACTGGAACCTAAATGGGATTTAAAATTTTCTTTAATGGTCATGATTTTCAAAACCTTTAAAGAGAGGCCAATTTATTCTTGAAAAACTAGTGAGATACT